AGAAACATCAATCAATATTATAGCCATAATTACTGAAGATTAAACTATTCTCCGATCCTTAACGCGGTCAACTAAATAGGGCGATATGCGCAGGACATTTGGAACTCTTGACGAAATGAGAGAAGAACATAACATTTTAGTATACAGCGTGGATGGAAGAAACCAAATATTACACGAACATGAACATAGAAAAATTATATTAAACTGGAAGATATGGACTAAATACATCTGACTCAGGACAGAGTCCAGTAGTGGACTCATTTCAACATAGAAATGTACCTCCATACAAGACTGTAATTTCTTAATCAGCTGAGCGACTATGAGTTTCACAAAAAAGCTTCTGTCTCATGGATTTAGTCAATAAGCTATTTAATTAGTTAATATTACAGTGACTACAAATAATTTATTCTATAGACTCATTGTAAACAGAATCTCAATCTGTTTGCTGATATCATCAAATTACACGCATTTCTGTGTTCCATTCTGCATAAAACGTGAGCTCAAGATTCCATCGCGTAAAGACTCTGTCTCAGGCGCTACTTAATAATACGAAACACATTAAAGACTAAGTAAGCTTATCGGCTAAGCAGCCTCACATGATTTTTTCGTCTGTTGAATGAATGTTAGATACATAATCCTTATAGTTAGCACAACAATCTGAACAGCTATAAGCGGCCCCTGTGAATAAAAGGACTGTCATTTCGAAATATAACGTAATTTAACCAAGGCATGGCCAATACTGTACTCCACTAAGCCAAGCTTTGGTTTGTCTTGAATAATAGTTATTTTATAATACTAAATCAAATACGGAAAACAACGTTCAATTATTTTTATTTTGAATGTAGTTTAATTTCTGTTACAGTTTCCTAAATCTATACTTAAAAACGTGGATAACTAATTAGATAGGGGGTCAGTCTATGACATGGCCTCAGGGATTACATCATGATGAAGTGAAACAAGGATAAACATTCATGGTCAGTCCGCTGGCCGAGATCCGAATCGATTACTTCCAGACCACAGAGAAGGGGTCCTAACCACTAGGTAGGTACACGGCGAAGTTCAGCTTGAACAATTGATGGTATTATCTGCATACGTGTGTTCTGCTTTTACGGATTATACTCGCTTGTTCTCTACCGTGTCAGAATTAGCTCAGAGATAATTCACTTGCCAGATAGTTGATTCGGATCCTACGACAAAGTTTGGGTCATCGCAAGGCCTCCGCCAATAAAAAAAACTCAAGACAATGCAGAAGTAAACAGCAATAGAATATGACTGTCTTCTGGGTTGTTGCGACGTGTAGCCTGGTAGAAGTTTACCGACGTTTTAGATCGCCCTGGTGGAGGAAGCGACGTTTCAGAGATCATCGCTAATTCCATCATCAGGGCGATCTGAAACGTCGGCAAAGTTCTA